CCCCCCCCCGTCCCTTCTTGGCCTACGCTATACTTTGTTGCTGTATACGATCGTGGGTTGAAAAATAGGCATTTCTGAACTGCCTTGGTTAGAAATTGCATCGACTTTAATATTAATGCTAATTTCTCGAAGGAGTAAAATACTGGTTCGTTGGGTACTGGATTAGCAATAAATGCTCACCACAGGCTGGTCATTTTCTGATGTTTTGGCAGAAGCATAGGCGGATTTGGAGGGGAACGGGGGAGTGCGAAGAGTCTTTGCTACAGCCCGGATCTGCTCACAGGCGCCAGTGCTGCAAAAACCCGGGCCTTTTCATAAATAAAACTAAAGTAACTCTAAGTAGCAGTGTTACAACTCTATTCCTAGCTTTTTGCATAGTTCCAGGATGGGAGGGGCTTTCTCCCCACCGCTTCGTAACTCTCTCTCAGGAGCCTCACTTCCCCCCACCTCCTGTACCCCCTGCGCTTCCCCAAGCAATCTGTTCTGGATCCGCCTGTGGATAGAAATGTGTATTTAAAAAAATCGAAAAGAGAAGGGCGTTGTTTCAAGGGAATGCATTAGTTTTTCGAGCTCCAGTGACCAGGTTCATTGGTGATAAAAATCATTGGCTTTAGGCAGTTGAGCAGTTTATGGATGCTGATGATGAAAGCTACCATCTTTTTTTGCGAGGCTTGGACCCGAAGAATTGCAAAGAGCAGGATCACTACAAAGTTCTTGGATTGTCGAAATTGCGCTGGAAGGCCAGTAGTTCACAGATTCGTAGTGCATGTAAGTTATATACAATATTTGCGTTGTTTGCATTTACTTTTGATTAATCAATGAATAACGGGTAAACGAGAGAAAATTTAGCTTCGCCTCAAATGTATGCTGGCTTTATTGAAATTTGTGAAATTTTCATACGAGCCAAAGATGAAAATCCCTTCTTTATGCATTTTTTATGGAAGACCAGACACACTGGAAAAGCAGCTTAATTTGTTAGCAGATGCCAACAACAACCGTTCGCTAATAAGGCTTCTTTTTTGAGCTCACTTATAAGCAAGCTGATATCGGTTTTGACTTCTCGGTATATGCCACTGCTAACGGCCCAGCGTTCAGTACGTTCTAGCTACTTATAAGCAAGCTAGAAAAGAACAAAGGAGCCCAAACGCCATGAAACACAGACAGGCAACCAAGTCACTATACATACAATCTTGCCTGTATGGCGAGATCTAAATGGCACTGATTCCAGTGTTTTCATAAATTATCAAAATTTGAGTGTGTTCCTCTCCACGCTGATGGGCCAGCAGTGCCAAACAAGCTGCATATGTTAACGCATGGATGATTTCAGGTCCCTGTCCTCTTCCACTTTCCTAGCCAGAGATATTTTCTGTTTATATCTCTAAAATTTCTACAGCACTTTGTTGTTTTTGGAGGATGTTCAAGGCATGGGGCGTAAAAGAGTGATTGCAGATCGTGCCAAAGTCCTCAAATATCATCCTGATAAGAGAAAATCCGAGAAGGCCGGAGTGGACGACAGCGAAGATTATTTCGCCTGCATTGTGAAGGCCTACGAGCAGTTGGGTATGTCGCTGAAGAAGAGAAGAGCCTATGATTCGGTGGATCCGAAATTCGATGATTCGGTTCCTGATGAAAAGCGTATCACTGCTGAAAATTTCTTCAAAATACTCAAACCAGTGTTTGAAAGGAATGCCAGGTATGTGAAATGAATGAATTCATCGGTTACTGCTTTCCACTTTCGGTTTTAATGGCCCACGAATCAAAATCTGAATGTCTTGAAGCTTCCCCTTCCCTCCTTTGTGAGCCGTCATGCACTGAAGTAGTGTGCCTTTGGACATCCACACAAATTTGACCTTCTTTAGTCTCCTTTTAACATTCGCTTTTAGTATGGTGAAATGGGGCAGTCTCATCCAATTTCGCACCGATTCTGCCGTCTGTGTCTACAGCTCAGGGATGAAACACAGACAGGCTACCAAGTCACTGTACATACAGGCTTGCTTATTTGGGAGATCTAAATGGCACTTCCGATTTTCTATTAATTATCAGAATTCGATTGCGCTCTTCTCCACAGTAAAACAACAGCGCCATCAAACTGCACATGTTAACACATAAAAAATTTCAGGCTCCTGTCCTCTTCTAATCTCCTAGCCAGGGATATTCATTGTTTGTATCTTTAAAATTTCTATAACACTTCGTAATGTCATCGCTCTGCACAGCATGTGCATTTTCCTCTGCTGACTTGTTTTAACAGTCAGTTTGCTTCATTGTCGGTTTGTGAAGCAATTGGCATGTCCAGAATTCGGAAATAATTGCTTCGCGGGAGTGAACGTAACGAGTCCCTCATGCTGCCAAAAAAGTGCTGTCTGTTATGACTGTGTTAATATTTAGGTGGTCGAATCGGAATCCAGTCCCGCTGCTAGGCGACATTGATAGTACAGAAGAGGAGGTGGAAAATTTCTACTCATTTTGGTTTAATTGGGATACGTGGCGCGAGTTCTCCTATCTCGACGAAGAAGACAAAGAAAAAGGCGAAGACCGATGGGAGAAGCGCGAAATCCAAAAAATTAATAAAGTTAGTTGTTAACTGAATTTTTTCCCACTAGCTATATTTTGCATTATTTCATCAAAAGTAAGGCGGGAGTGTTTACAGCATGGATTTAGAAGTTGTTTGCATCCCATAATATCGATTTTTGACCAAGTCTTTACGTCAGAAGGGCGCATCGGTTCCGTAGAATTTGCTAGATATAGTATATGAGTGAGCACTACTCATGAGGCAGAAACCGGCTATTGGGATAATCTTTCGCGCAACAGATGGCATTGTAGTTCAGTACAGGAGGGCCTTTCTTAGCTTCTCTTGATATGTGGTTGTTTGGTTGCATCAACACCGATAACCGGTTGAGACAATTGTTAGGATTAATCACACTTCACTTCGTTGTTGCTCAAATGAGGCAACAGTTACGCATGATAGCGCAGGAAAAGTGTAATTATAATTTACGATCGTTAAAAGGCCGAACCATAGTCTTAAAAACAAAAACCAAGTGGACGGCCCAAAAGCAAACAAAATGTGGAGCGGCCAAAATCCGCAAATTTTAACCTAAGGTGGAGTTAGTTTAATAAGGTGAAGTTATGATGTAAAGGAAAAAGATTGTAGAGCGATTCATGTGGCACAAAACCGTATGACATGTTGTAAAGCGGACAACAGCGCAGCTTAAACAATTCTGCCGTAAAATTAGGATGAAAAAAGCATGAGCAGTAACAGCATGTAAACAGGTGAATAATAGCAAAACGGCTAGAAAATAAGCCATAAGGGAACGTACAAATTGTTTTTTCAGTGGTTCTTCTGCTGTGTATCAAACGGTAGGAAGCTTTTTTTAAGGCTGAACGGGAAAAGCGTCGCAAGAATGAGATGAAACGTATTCGAAATCTTGTTGAGATGGCTTATCGCAAGGATCCACGAGTTGCACGTTTCAAAGAAGCGCGATTGCTGCGAAAAAAGATGGAGAAAGAAGAGCGCAAAAGAGCAGCCGAAGAGAAAAAGGCTCGCGAAGAAAAAATAAAAATGGTACTGTCATTTTTTTTTTTTTTTTGGGGGGGG